AGAATCATATGGTACAAATACTAAGTGAAGTGATAGAAAAGTATCAGGTGAGGTCGATGACATGATTTTTAGAAGACAAAATTCGGTTGTATCAGTATCGGTTAGAATGCCAGACAACCAGAGAGCGTCACCTTGGAAGGCATACATTCGTAAGATACTTGAAATACACTAACATATCAATGCGCACTTAAGTTGTAACATAGGCCCACAAAGTGTCCCGGCAAAATATATAACAGTACGTTTCCAACCCAAATTTCTATATCTCTTGCTATCTTAGGGTCGCTGATACTATCATCCTCATTTCATAATACTATATAACTCGTCATCTTCAACCACCGGATTTAGGACTGGGATAAACAATCACGTTACTCTTTGTAATCATGATATCTAAGAGGTTGTTTGGCGAAACTCGGAGGTCACATGACCACTAATTCGTCCTCTCACCCAGTCTCATCTGGGGGCACATCCTCTCCGGCTGTCGATAACGTTTCGACGGTGAACATGCCCAAGTAACTGGACACTCCATGCGCCCACTATAATCTCCTAGGGAGTACCTTGTCTCCCCATTGTAGGATTGAAACTGTTTCCGGCCAGTAACCCCGTCATGGTGAGGCGACGGGCTTGCGATGGATGCTCTCTGCGTAAAACCCGGTGCAGTGGCCGACGGCCTTGTCCACCCTGTGTCCGCTCGGGATTTGAATGCTCCTACCTGAAACCAGTGGCAAAGCCCGGACCGAAAGGTCCACGCGCTGAGACCTACACACAGATCAATAAGCGCCTTCAGAGCCTGCGAGAGCGAGCTGGCCGTTGTGCAACAGAAATCGCATCACCCGCCAATGTAAGAGCAGGATTGGCGGAGGTGACCGACTCATCCAGGGTGACACTAGCTTATGATGTCGCCGTTACCGAACAGATGCCGCTACTGACTGATGCATGGCCATCGCACCTGCCCCTGGCAGGTGTCCTGGCTCACTTGCAAACCTACGAGCAGAGGATGTATCCCGTCTGGCCTGTGGTTGACACTGCTCGCCTTCGCAATTCCCTCATACTGGACGTGAACAATCTTGAATTACGCGCTTTAGCCTTTGCAGTATGCGCAGCGACCTGCGCTCAGTTGCATTGCCACTCGGACAATCATGCGACGCAAGGAAATGCAGAGGGAAAGTGTGCTATGGCGGATGACTTTGCGAAAGAGTCAGATCATTGCCGCACGATGTATGATTACCGGGAAAGTGGCACTTTTGAGGCAGTACTGGTGCCGCTGTTCCTTCACTTTTACTACGGTGCGAAGAAAAAGATACCGACCGCTTCGCTCTTGCTCCGAGAGTCTGTGACATCGTGTCAGCTTCAGGGATTAGATAAGGAAGATACCTATCAAGATGTAGCCCCAGAAGATGAGCGGTATAGGCGAAGGGCGTTCTGGCTCCTCTATGTGACCGAAAGGGGTCACGCAATTCAGCATGGAATTAATACCTGTCTACGAGACTCCATACGGCCACCAACGCGCGATCGCTCGGACGAACTCCCCCTTGTTGAAGCCTTTGACCGTCTGGTGGGTCTATTTATTGCCGTGGAAGGTGTGCTTCTCGATCGCGGTGGCTCCAGTACCATCATGTGCAGTAAGGAGACGCTCTGCCGGCTACAGAGTCACCTCCGTCAGCGCCTCCAGTGGCCTACGGCATACCATGCATTACAGAGAACGGATATTGCTATTACCCAACAGTGGCTACGCATATTACTTTGGCAGCTGTCTTTAAAGAATATTTTCCTCTCCAGCGCTTCGGCTGATGAGAGTATGAGATTGACCTACCCAGTACATGTGGCAAGAGACGCGATCGTGTACATCTCTAACGTGCCCCAGGAGACATTTGTGGCACATGGTCCCGGGATGGTGGGTGACTATATATACCACAATGGCATACCCTAAGCTTACTGGATCCAGGCCATCAAACTCTTCGAGATAGCAAGTACCCTGCTGGATGTGATTCACTGTGTTCCCACCCTCTTGCACCACCATTCAGTGGGAACACACGATATTCTCCACCATTTATGTTATTTACTGTCCTCTCTGAGTCACAGACCATATGGCCTAGAGGTATTGCAGAGAAAATTGCATGAACTAGGTATTCCATACCGCCATATTCCTGCGCTTTCTCCGGTTGAACGTGGGGATTCCCCAGTCATCGAACCGCTTGATGAAGAAAGATTGGATGCATAGTGAACTTTGGCCCACCGAAATCCTTCATGGTAACATTGGTGGATGAGATCACATTTGTGGATGTCAAACTGATTCAGTCAGAGCTTCCCCCCACCAAGTCCGATCCTGGCACTTGAACTATCCAGAAGAATCACAAACGATTCAAATGGCTTCACAGAGATGGTGCCATCAGGTAGCACTGGGTGGCCACACTGATAATTTCCAAGCAGCACAACGCCATGTTCAAGAATTGAGGTCGTTTCGGCCGGAACAACCCATTTCACTTCTTTGTCTGTGAAGTTGGCCAACACCAAAGCTGACTGGCCTCCATGCATTCGCAGATAGGCGAATAGATCATCATTCGCTTCATCCACCAAGCTGAACGAGCCATATACGAAGAGGTCCTTATGTGTTTTGCGTAGCCCAAGGACCTTTGCCCAGTGTTGGAAAACACTGTTTGGCTTGCCCACCTGGGCCGCGGCATTCCAGTCTTCGTAGTCGTCATGCACATCAATCCATGGGCCGTTGGGCGCAGTGGTAAATCCTGCAAATTTGCCACTGGTCCATTGCATCGGGGTGCGTCCATTATCGCGAGACTTGACGCGGAACTGTTGTAATGTCATCTGGTGGAGCTCCGTGTCGTGGGGGTATGCAGCCATCATCTCGTCCCAATGATTCAAAGTCTCGATATCCCTGAACTTCTCAATGCCCCAGGTCGCTGGCACATTCACTAGGCCTAATTCCTGTCCCTGGTACACAAACGGAGTCCCTCCTTGAAGACCCAGGAAGGTTGCTAGCATCTTCCCTGCCGTCGCGCGGTATTCCGGACCCGCCGAGGTAAACCGTGATATAGTCCTTCCTTGGTCGTGGTTTTCAAGATAGAGGCGTTCCAGCCCGCATTCTGGTACATGAAGTCCTGCCATTTGGACACGATATGCTTCAGGTCCGACATGCGATATTGATGCGGAGAGAATTTGCCTCCCAGGCCATGGTCGATATCCATGATCTCGAATTGGAACGCCATGGCTAATTCGCCGCGGTCAAAACCCACGGCCTTCCCAATTTCCGCCGGATCATACACATTCGGCATCTCACCGACGGAAAAGGCATCATAATCCTTCAGGATCCGTCCCAGTTCTTGTAGGTATTCGTGGAGACGTGGTCCGCAGCAGTAGTACATCGCCCCATGCTGCCATTGGCTGTTTGCATCGGTGATGGGTGCATCAGGGAAGCCTTGGTCCTTGCTGACCATGTTGATGACATCCATGCGGAATCCACTGACGCCTTTGTCCAGCCAATATCTCATGATCTGGTGCACCGCGGACCGGACTTCGGGGTTTTCCCAGTTGAGGTCTGGCTGCTCCGGCGCGAACAGGTGCAGATAATATTCGTCGGTTGTTTCATCGTACTGCCACGCAGAGCCTTTTTCTGGGTATTAGTAACCGGCTGGGGCAACTTTGTGGACGTGGAAACCAAGACTGTACCTCCAAAATAGGCTTTCCAGTTATTTGGCGGCTGACGGACACCATCTACACCGTACTTGGGCTTTTTCCATATGTACCAGTCTCGGTATTTATTGTCTCGGGACGATCTCGAGCGTTTAAACCACTCGTGCTGTTTCCATCATTAATCACGTCTCATGACAGTAGTTGAAGTGTGTAAGATTTCCCAGTCGATCGCTTCCCACTCACCTGGTCGGAAGTATGATTGACCACAAGGTCCATGACATATCTCATCCCCCGTTGGTTTAAACCCTGAATGAGCGCATCCACATCTTTGACCGTACCGTACGGGGCGTGGATTTGATAATAATCAGACACATCGTATCCCATGTCTACCTGCGGGGATTGAAGGATTGGAGAGAGCCAAACGAGATCGACCCCAAGGGCCTTCAGGTAGTCGAGCTCCGAGATGATCCCTGGGATATCGCCGATTCCATCCCCGTTGGAGTCCTTGAACGAAGCCGGATAGATCTGATAGACAGAGGCCTCTTTCCACCAAGCCCTGTTCACAGGCGACAACTGAGTCTTACGCTGGGTAGCCATTCGTGAGTGATGATAGTTGGATGATGAGAAAGACTGGGGGCAGGGAGGGACCAGTTATCCACTTGCTGAGAGGCGATAGTCGGGATATTTATGTTCACCCGGTGAAAAACACATGGTGAAGTGGCGTAACACAGTTGCTCTCATGTTGACCCCTGGAGCGAGTTGTCCAGCCACTCAGTGAGTGACGTTGGGGTTTGTCTTGTAGCCGAGCCTCGTGTCTCCGACTCCCGCCCCGAAAATCTCCCCGGGAATCTTCCCGAAAATCTGGCCAAAGAATTCCGCCGGGAATCTCCCCGCCGCGCGGCTTCTCATTGGTGCCCATGCCGCCAAACTTCATCTGGAGAGCGCGCTTGACCCAACGAGGGTTAGCGTCTTCACACCACTAATCGTGTTTCTTTTGGGTCCAGACCCCAGACTCCATACATGCTACTTTCCCCACCCCCTACCAGGCATTCTCCACGCAAGGGAAAAAAAACGTGATCTGGGGAACAGGAGGGTGGGGATCGCAAGGGCAGAAACTATCACCGGCTCTTCGTATTCAATGATGTCTATAAGATCGAACGATTTCCCCCTACCGTGATCTGAATCTTTGCTCTGTTGCAGAATGCATTCATTCTCTCCGCACTGATTGAAGTACATCACTTGGACCACATATCCCGTCCACCTTGAGTCCAGCAACATCCTCAACAGCACCCTTTGTTACTGGCATCATGGTCGCTGGCGGTGGAGTCGTTTCTGCGTCCGGCATGGATGTGTACCGGGCGCTGCCAAACAACACAAACGCCAACTGGCTCAAGGACAAGGGCCTTCGGCGCCTGAATTTCGGCCTCATACTTATGTTTGCATCCGCTGCAGCAAATGGGTATGACGCTGCTTTGATGAATGGGCTCCTGACCCTCCCTATGTGTGAGTTCTCGTGATCACATTGTCCTCTACCGCTAGCGTATACAGCGCTGATCTGAACGGCTGACAGTCGCGAAGAATGTCGGCGAGAATATAGGCTCGAACATAGAGGGCCTGATCATTTCAGGGATTTCCCTAGGAGGCACGGTCACCTTTATCCCGGCTTCGTACTTCGCGGATTACTTCGGCCGCAAAATGTCCGTCGCACTTGGATCGGCCATCATGATTGTCGCGAGCGTGATCCAGGCGGCCACCATCGGTCGCTGGGCTTTCTTTGGAACGAGAATCGCGATGGGGGTTGGCCTGGGTTTTGCACAGACAGCTGCTCCGCCGCTGACGACTGAGATAGCTCACCCACGGCATCGGGGCGTGGTCACAGCCATCTTTCAGGCTACTTGGTACTGGGGCGCGATTCTGGCTGCTGCAGTGTGCTTGGGGACTCTTTATGTTGAGGGTAGCACGTGGTCCTGGCGGATTCCTTGCCTTGTCCAGTGTTTCTTCCCAGCAATGCAGTTGCTCGGACTGATTATCGTCCCGGAAAGCCCGCGGTGGCTCGTGTCGAAGGACCGGCGCGACGAGGCCTTGCACATCCTCGCCCGTTACCATGGGAATGGGGACACGTCCGATCCCTTGGTTCAGTTCGAGTTCTCTGAAATCTGTGGCGCAATCGATTTAGAGAACTCAGCCGCCCATAAAAGTGGCTGGTCGGCATTCATCGCGACCAAGGGAGCCCGGCATCGCCTAGCAATTTGTCTCCTGGTCGGGGTGATGATCCAGTGGGCAGGTAATGGTACGTACAGCGCTCTTCGCATGGGTCGTCCGTCGTGCTGATTTGCCTCGTGTCCAGGTGTCATCTCTTACTATCTCGCACCAATTCTGCGATCCGTTGGCATCACCAATCCCACACAGCAATCCGCCATTAACCTGGGCCTTCAGGCGTGGAATGCAGTCTGTGCCGCCGGAGGTGCCGTTGCCGCCGAGAAATACGGCCGGCGCCCGCTCTGGATGCTCTCGACGGTGCTGATGCTTCTCTTCTTTTCCATAGCGACCGCCCTGTCCGCCGTGTTCGATAAATCGGCCATCCAGGCAGCTGGCAGTGCGGTCGTCGCATTCCTCTATCTGTTCTACGGCGCCTATGATATCGCCTATACCCCACTCTCCATTGCGTACCCGGTCGAGATCATGCCGTTCTACCTGCGCACCAAGGGCTTGTCGCTAAGCCTCACAGCGCAGTTTGCCGCGGGCTTCTTCAACCAGTTCGTGAACCCCATTGCTCTCGGTGCGATCCAGTGGAAATTCTATTTCGTGTACCTTGGTCTGCTGATCAGTTTCGTGGGGATTGTGTACTTTGTGTTTCCTGAGACCAAGGGCCACACGCTTGAAGAGATTGCCGTCATCTTCGACGGTCCGGGGGCAGAGACTGAGATCCAGCGAGATCTGGCTGCTGTAATTGCGTTGGAGCGGGAGGTAAAAGCTCCTCTGAGGGAGGAGTTGGAACACGCTCCATAAAATGTGATGCGCGGGCTCGTATTATTTAGGATTATCTCTTCCTGGGCGGCGTGATACCCTTGCAGGAATTGATGCGAGCCAGCATGGCGGGGGTGGAAGGAGAAGTATGTAGTTTTGATGCCGGAGTTGATATATATTGTCGGCTTCACCATACTTTTTTTTTCCTGCTTATCTTGCTATTCCTTCTCTGACTCTATATTAGAACTTTCTCGCTCTATTATGCTTATTGGGTAAAATCCATTATATATTTACATTTGTTTTTTGTTTCCATTTACTCAACTGTTTCTCCCCCATAATATCAAGATAGGCTATTCCTGGATCTTGGCATTATGGGAGTTGACCCAGCCGGAGAAACTTCCAGGAAAGTTTGCATCCCTTTCAAAAGGCACCTGGTTCTATATTGTTATAATTGTACCGATAACTCTGTACTGACAGAACTGATAGACTTTATCCTATCTAACGCGAAATCAAATCACGTGCGAAGAGTTGGCGGCTAGATATATATTTTAAAAGTTTGCTTGCACCATACAAACAGACATGTACTAAGGTGGAGGAGGAATTTAAGAGATTGTTACAGGATCGAGGAATATAAAGCGAGGCAGTGATTCATAGGGCTGGAGTCTGAAATTCCAGGGGTTTGTGAATAATATTACGCCAACACTTTCCCTTTGCACCTGTCACTCTATCACTGGAAATGAGAGAGCAATCTGGCCGTCGTGAGGCCAATCAGGATTAGTGGCCGAAATACAGAGACCACTGAGAAGTGTCAGACATCATTGAACAGCGGCAAACGGTCAGCCTGGCTCTCAGCCCCGCCTCCGCCTTAGTATACTCGTTGTTAGCGAAAGGCTGCCGCCAAGGAGGGTCCGTGTGGCCATGGAAGGATCGCAGTTATGGAAGGACCATGGGTCATGAATGGTATTCCGCATCGGCCGAGGAATTATGTGAGATTGGTAGAGGAGTGGAAGGGCGCGATAATCTATATCCCAGAAGAGGCGGAAGATAAAGGCTACTTAGGGCTGCAGAAAGACTTTGTACAGGGTGGTTCTGCGTTACTGTTCATGATAAATACTGGGATAAATTTCATTTATAGATGTCAGCACAAGCGGATCTGATCATCTGAATGATCTTTGCCACTAGGCAGACGGCATGAATATAGATTATATAACCACACTAAGAACGTTGAACTCCATTGGCGGCCTGATTCAAGGTAAACCGTGATCGTCATGCGATAGATCACTAGCCTTTCAACTTCTAGGGTGGCGGGCAATTGGAGACATGGAAAGCGGTAGGTTCATTGGAAGGACCACGAACAACGGGAATCCATGTTCATGTTCAGAGTCATCTCCACTCTTCGGACCAGCAGAAGGAGTCTAATCAGTCTAGTCTTATAATACATGTCAAGAACGGAGCTGTCAGAATGTGAGGCGAGGGCCAAAGACAAAACAAGTCTATTCACAGCATCATTGCGACTGTATATGTAGGATTTCTTTCTTGGACGACGACAACCAGCGAATAGACAGATGTATGTACTTGAGAAAGTCGCAATGTGGAAATAGAGCTGATGATGGTCTGTATCTAGCTATTGATCAGGATCGGGACCAGGGCCCGGTGTGTTTCTTTACAAAGTAGCCGCAAATGCCAAGACAGCAACCAGAGCACCAAAAACGGAGCTCGAGACAGAGCTGGCACCACCCGTAGCAAGAACGGAAGTCGAGCCAGAAGACGAGCTACTAGAGTTAGTCGACTTCGAGTCAGATGAGCTACCAGAGTTAGTCGACGTGGAGTCAGATGAGCTACCAGCGCTGGTGGAAGTAGAGGAGGAGCCGCTGGCGGTCTTGGTGAATTTAGGGTAGGCCGAGCCGGTGAAAGACGCGCTGGAATAGTGGGCAGCAGCGGAGGAGTTGGACGGACGGAATCCCTTGCCGACCGTGAAGCCGGGTGTAGTAGAGGGAGTAGCACCGGGGACGACGCCGGAAGACGAAGGGTTCGCAGAGGCGATGGCAGAGCCAGAGGCAACCGCAGAGCCAGAAAGAATAGTGGAGCTAGCAGCGGAGCTCGAAGCGGACGGAGATGGGCGAGTGGTGTTGGAGCAAGTCAAGTTGAACAACGGGTGGTGCTCAGAGTGCCGCCGACCACACCAAAGCTCGGGTTCGGGGTCGTGGAGGGGCTGGCATCCTGGAGGATGTACCACCAGGTGTTGGTCTCGTCGAACAAGGGGCATCCCACCTCATCCCAGTAGGTTTTCGCGTTGGCGAGGGAAGCGACGGCGAGGTTCTGGGTGCTTCCGCTGACGGGCCATCCGGTCTCGGTGATCCAAACCTCCTTGCCATTCGCGACCGCCTTCGTCTGAGCCACCGAGGAATCGAAGAGAGCCTTGGCGTCCGAGATGGAGTTGGACATGGAGCTCTGGAAGTACGGGTACCCGTCAAAGCCCAGCCAGTCGACGGCGTCGATGACGGCAGAATTGGAGCCGTTCGTCCAGGCGGTCCAGGTGTCGACGTGACCGATGGGGACGCTGCTCAGGGCGGTGCCCGAGATGATCGATCGGACCTCCTTGATATACGAGACCAGGGCCTCGGGGCCAACGCCCACGCCGGCGTCGACTTTCTCACCCTCCGACGAGGCCCGGTAGAGATCCTCACTACCAACGGAAATACCCACGACCAATTTGGCGAAGGAGTCCCCGTATTGGGAGATGGCCGCCTTGAGGGCCGCCAGCTCGTTGTCCATACCACCCCCAGAGGCCCAGAGACCCAGCAACAGGGAGGTGTTTTCAGCAATGGCCGCGGGAATGGCGGAAATGGGGGAGTTGGCAGTGCCACCTTGCTGCGTGATGGTCAGTCCTTGGGTTCCGCTTCCTGCCTGATAATCACGTCACTCACGATCATGGTGTACAATCTCGCACTGGTGAAGCCCGCAGTGCCAACCAGACCCTTGGCAGTCGAGAACTCCGATTCGAAATCAGACTGAGATTTGACGCTGCCATCAGCCTTGGTCGCACCGTAGTTGAAGCCCTTGTAGGCGGCCTCGGACGTAGCGAGCGACAGGGCGAACGCAAGAAGGTGTGTCAATTGCATGTTGATGAGGAATTGAGTAAGGACTGTGGGATAAGAAAGGAAAGTTACTGTAGGAGAACAAAGAAGGAACGACGTTGAAGACCGACAAAGAAAAAAAACGTTCAAATGAGAGCGGTGGTGAAAAAGAGAGAAGGAGATGAAGATGACGATCAAAGAAAGAGGGAAACGAAGCAGCAGATAAAAGATGAAGAAAACGATGGAGGGCAACAAACTGATGTGTGGTTCTAGACCAACTGTGGGTCCGGGTGGGTCTTTGCACGTTGAACTTGACTGGCTAGGCAGAGCTTGTCTGAGGACTATTGAAAGCCGATTGGATCTAAAGATAGAATTCTTCTAGATTGGGCCCATCAGATCCACGAAATATCCTGATTGGGGGGGTTCGCATGGCCAATCGGAATGGGGCTGTGCGATGTGATTTCTCAGAAACACGTACGTACCTGCATGAATACCCCTGACCCTTGGGATGCCCCCCGTTGAGTCGCCAATGGCAAGCGATTGGTATCCTCAACGTATGGATTATTCGGTCAGTTCTCACAGAGATATCCGCCCAGTTCCAGGGCTGACTGCACGTCACCCATACCGTCGACCAACCAGAATGCCCATCCCCGGTACTGGTATTCTCGACCGGTCAATTGTTCGTGGGTTGGACGCGGTTCTTCGTCGGAGTTTCGGAGTCGATGTGGCAATTGTCCCCTGTGGAATATTAGTGGAGATTTCCTCTGTCCTATTTATTTATGGAGAATGTGATTGCACAATTCCCTCGGTCCATATCATATCCAAAAGGGGTTCGCAGGAGAAGGGCAGTTTAGGGGGAATTATTTATAGATCGCTGAAGAGATATCATCTGGTCTGGATCCCATGGATGTATCGGATGAAGACGAGAATACACTATTGGTGACATACAGAAGGAGCGGATCATCAACTAATCCTGCTGATCAACGTGCACAGTCCGAATCCGCCCTTTCATATACTCTTCCATCTCCAGTAACGGCGTTTCCAGAATGACTCCACCATCCGTCAGAAACCAACTATCAGCATCCTTCCGTGCCCTCAACGCAGAACAAGGCCATTTACCAGCTCCCGCCAAGTTCCGATCATCAATCGACTTATGAATCGCCTCATGGGTGATCCCGGAGTCGATAGGCTGATAAGCCAGCGGGGTCCGTATCGAAACACCTCCCAGAACGCCCTCGAGAGACCGTGTGAAACCCCACGTCTCCGTCTTACCCAGCCTCGTCCCCCACGGTTCAATCTCATGGACCATCGGACCGGGAGGCAAATCGAACAAATATCCCTCAATGTCAAAACTCAACTGCTCATCCTTCATACACTGCGCGATCATCCACGCCAGCGTAATATTCGCTAGTCGAGGATCATCCCCCCCACCTCCAACATCCGTATGCACCCCCGAGAACCAAACCTGCAACAGCTCCTGTCCCTCGCTCTTCTTCGGCAGGTTCCATAACGTCGGCTGATACGCCGTTCGCTCCTCATCGAGCGCTAGCGCATGAAACGCATACCGAACATTCTCGGAGAGCATCGTATTCCGGAACTCCAGCTGCTCACCCACCCACCCCCCGAGCCATGTCTGGTGGAAGGCGACCGTGTCCCACACCCCGATGATCTCCACCGTAAATCGCGGGAGGGGATCTCGGAATCCGAGTGATCGTCGCTGCTCGGGCGTATAATCGTCTGCTTTCGTTTGGTAGAAATCCTTGTACACGGTCGGGAAGTTGTCCATTCCTCGTCGTGTTAGGAGACCCCATTGGCAGACGAGACCGGCGACCGCGCGTGCCGTGTATGCTCCGCGTGAGAAGCCAAAGAAGTAGATCTTGTCGCCTTCGTTGTAGTTGTCGACCAGGAAGCCGTATGCGGCGCGGACGTTGGCGCTTAGTCCCAATCCCGCGACACCTGTAGAATGTCAGTATCATACGTGCGAATAAGACATTGGGGAAGAATGTCAAAAAGCCAAAACAACAGGAACTGCCTCGGGAAAGACGAAGGGGGAAGGGCTCGGACGTACCACCCAGTATTTGTCTCCCAGGCCGGTCCCGACCCCCTTTTGATAGTAGACAATCTGGGGGATTTCGTCTTTCTGGCCATTTCTCTCGACAATCGCATTGGCGCTTAAGGCTCGGCTGAACCGTGTCACGTTGGAAGCAGGCCGGCTCGAGTCTGCCGTTGAATCTTGCCAGGTTCCTGCAGAAGAAGTAGACATCAATACCCATCTCCATAAGATGCAGGGGAGATCTACCATCGCAGCAAATAATCAGCCGCTTCCGGGAGCAACGATTAATATCCGACATTTTACTCCATACACGCCGTAGCTTTCTGTGGTGCTCGATTAAACGGGTTGAGAATTCGATCAGGGCTCACCGAAGTTAGATGGCACCCCAGTGGCTATTTATCGTGAAACTCAGTTGCAGCTCTCTGTAATCTCATGATCAATAAGAGGGATCTAGATTCCGACGAAATTCTGCAGATGCTGGTGGTGATGGCATTGTCCTCTACCGGATACGAACTTGTCATCGAATCATCATCATCAGCCTGAGATCCACGGTACTGTATGCCATAAATCGCATCATTGTCCAATCAGGCGCGCTTGACGTGGCTTGGATAGAATCCAATCTACAATTAAATTTAACACACGTTTAAAGCATGATTAAGCTGACGTGAGGATGTGCTAACTTGTAATGTCGTATGATAGTCGCTCTAACTGCATAGTGTCTTGGTTTTGCAGCCACCCGCTTTTGATACGAGGGAAATAAGATTAAGGAAAAATACGAGGAGCGTTGGAATCGTTCTTGGTACAGAAGCAAAAGTAAGATCGGGATTATGTTTAAAGTATATTCCAGACCTGTCGGTCGACAATTTGGTAGGTACAATATACGGAGTACTATCTTGGCGAGAATAGACCAGACCCCGTGTACTTTACTATAACATACGCTAGAGATCCAGTCACCGTGGCATCTCCATGGCAGAAGCTCCAACTGGTTGACCCGATGGATGCAGGGAGATGTCCGTATTAGGGTGATAGTTGTTTGTATATGCGTGTCTTGAAACAATTAGTGAGTAAGCTTCGAAGCCCCGCCTGATCCAGTATATCAAGTGATACGCTATATATTAGGTTCAGGTGCAGAAGATGGGTCAGCTCGGTGATAAGATCGTAGATAAGCAATTGTTGGGTATTTTATATGGCGCGGGTCTTTAGTTATAAGATTTAGAAGGAATAGGTAAATAGGATCATAGCAAGTTCGATCATTGATAATATTGAATCAACAGCTGTATAAGCTAAATCTGTGGATTATATAAGACTGCAGCGGAATAAGGTATATCAAATACAGAATTTGTTAGTACTATAAGGTAAAATGTGTCTCTCCTTTGATTATAGATAGATATAATCTTCATCCATCGTGATATCATGGCGTGAGAACTGTTCCTTCCCGCGAATATTGAAGGGTCAGGGGGGCCACTGGTGACCCGATTGCTTCATGATCTCGCATGATACGATCACCCTAGATCTGAAAGAAGACCATGTCGAAGGGCTATAACACTGTATAAGCCAATACTTAGTGTAGGCTACTACATACGACCATAGGGTGTGGAGAACAGGGCTTCCCGCCCGCTCAGCTTTACTTAAGCCACACACAGGGAGATGAGTACATTGGATAGATAACTACTAGTGAATCTCTTCCGTTATATATCTATGTTTACTATTTCTTTGTAATCTGTTAAGTTTAATATTTAGGTGGATGAACAATTCCAGACATCGCGGCAAGCGCTGCAGGAATAGGGCTGCTCACTCTCAAGACTGTCTCCATATGACTCTTAAAGCTGTGTGTCTGGAATCGGAAATACCTTTCAGAATCATGAGACTCCAAGACACGGACCAAGCGGAAACGATAAGATATGCCATGTCAGGGACCTCATGGGTGAGACAGAGAGTCAATCATGGCTGTAGCGATTATGGACATTCGGGAGGCGCGAGAATGTACGGGTTATCTTGCGAAACCAAACGCCCAATGTCTGGAATTGGTCACGGATGTCGGGCAACTCGTAGTGATGTGAAGAGCTTCTTAAAGGGGGAGCAATATAGACCATGCGAGGGCCTCTTAGATGATAATATGGCCGACGGCAAATTGGACAGCTAGCATCCTCGCTGCAAAGCCAACGATCAATACACGGGAGGTGGAAAATATGGTCGCATGGAAGGAGCCTATATAGCGAGGAAGATCCTAATGTCTCTAAACAGAACACGCAAGTATCCGGGAAGATCTCTACGAAAAGGTAAGAAAAGGTTGTAGCCGTAGTAGATCTGCAGGGTAAGACTTACTATCACTCCATGTTGATTGTCCAAATGCAAACGGCATCTGCGAGAGCAACAGATCTCGTACCGTTAATCTTCCCCGCTCTGTCGGATGTGGCACATGCAGGTAATACCCAGACATTGTGGTATCATATTTTGGCCAAGTGGACTCGATGAGAGGGCGTAGCCCCTGTAAAACTCCACTCTTTGACACATTTATATGGAAGGCTCTATGGGAAGAGCCGGTTCAGGCGGATGCGGTCCCTGTCAATCGGTTGAAACGCCCCTTCGTCGAAGGGTAGTGCCACGCAGGCTCGGGCGGGCCGTTAAAAAGAACCAAGCAACGAAATCCGCAACAACAAACTAGGGCATCGTAGTGGAGATGATCACCTGAAGACCAAGTTCTTTGGGACGCAATGGCTGCGTGTTATATTGGGTGGCTGGGACCGCAAAACTATGGAAAATCGAAGTGAGACATTTTTCAGGAATTGTTCAGTATCTTTTCATTCCGAAACTTTCGACAGCCTGACCGAAGGTGTTTGATAAGAGATATGGAGTGATAACAACAGGAAACTCCACGATAGCCATCGCATGTCCCAGTGTCCAGGAAATGACTAGGAGAAGCGTCATACTTAATATAGTGCGAACCAGTTGAGCTGGCAGTGAATCTTGGAATGTAGCTATCAAGTAACGTATGGCATTGATCACGAACTAGACTAGATACATGAACGGGGGTCATTATATCTCCTTGCCGTCCTGCCTTCGTCGTTCCCTTTGGTATACCGTCTATCAAATTTGGTGATCGTGGGTATACTGCCCATATAGCTAGTCACGTGGGTACTCGTGTGGGTGAATGCGGCTGGTGAATCACCTCTAGAATAATCCTGGGGGTGCTCGTCGTCGATCCGCTGGACAAGGGTCTGTAGCACACCCAGGGTGTCTCACGTTTTGAGTGTCGAGAAATTGGTTATATGGATCAGTAGCAACCAAGTTTCACGAATCACCGAATGGGGCAGGATTCCAAGTTGTATCTACAGCATCCGCGCCAATGGATAGCGCCAAAGTGTAGTGATATCAGTGCATCACTGGTTTGCCACAGCGGACCGTCCGTGCCGCCTATACGTGCGGAAAGGTTGCCAAACAATAGTACTATACTAGGTACTATATAAGGTTGCCGTGGCCGCTGGCATACACGCCGACAATGTTAGAAGGCTTGCCACATCTCGAATAGCTACATGATTGACAATAATGGAGAATAAGAAGGCACACCTGCACAGTAACAGGCAACGCCCTGCAAAGTACTGGCATTCACTCACCCAACTCAAGTTCCGCCGTGACTATCGTAGTGATCTACCGCCCAGCCTCTTCCGGTTTACGGGATACCGTCCCCCAGATGAAGGACCTCCTTATGACCCGCTACCAATACCGCCTTTCATATGGCTCCCCAAGATCCCCTTGAAGTATGAGACATGGCTCTTTGCATGGATCGGGGCGTTTGGGGGTATTCTCTTGATTGAGGCAATCATGTCGACCGATACCGCATTCCGCGATGCATACCATACCCCTACGATCATCACATCCTTCGGTGCCTCAGCTGTGCTGCTCTTTGGGGTGGTTGAGTCCCCTGTTGCGCAGCCTCGAAACTTCATTGGTGGCCATTTTCTTTCTGCATTGGTCGGAACCTGTATTACTCGGCTTTTTGTGCTGAATGGTCAATACCAGGGATATTTAGACAACACTAACTTTCACCCTTCGACCTTTATCAATGGGGGCATCTCTATGGCGACTTCATTGCTGGTGATGTTAATGACAGGAACTGTTCACCCACCGTGCGTCAGCCTCCTCCCACACGGTCACGCAATACTAACTGTTCAGCCAGGGCCGGAGCTACGGGTCTCAACGCAGCCGTTCAATCGAACGTTGTCAGCCTATCGTGGCGCTATCTTCCAACCGTACTTGCTTCATCATTAATTATGCTGGCCTGGGCCATCCTGGTCAATAATCTGGGTCGTCGGAGGTATCCCCTTCATTGGTGGGCTCCTGGGCCTACTTTTGTCCTGCCTCCGGGCCAAAACCACGACGAGGACCTGCGTCGAGTAGAAGAAGGCGAGATAGACAGGGACGCGCAGGAAGGAGATCTCGCCGTTGAGATTGACAACTCTTCGGAACCCCACCGCTAACGATTCAATTCTATAATAACAGGTAGTTCCAGCAGTGCTGATCCTGCTAACACTGAGAGCCACCCAACGTGAGGGATTCCATATATCTCAGTGTCTGCCTTTTTTTCATATCACGGAGTGAGCACCCGTTGAGCACTGGCACGCATGTTGATTAGGAACGAGGATGTACGTTTTGCTCGTTAGATCTCTCGGACTAGAAGCAAACTCCTGTATTCATCTGCTCCAGCATCGAAGGGCCCTATTCAAAGCACGATTATATGTCTCATGACTGCTAGCCTTGATGCCCTCCTTGAATGCTCTAAATGCCCGATACTTCGTGACCTTGTTATCCAGCACCATCTTCTCATATTGGCATCGTGATGTTAATTCATCTCATCGGTATCTCGGAACGCACGCTGTCGTACAATCCTGAAGGTTTGCTTTTTGGTGGGCGTTGTCTCTGGATTTACATCTTGCTCGGTGATATCTTCACCCGGTATACTGTCCTACTTCTTGGTTTGACCGGTGCATGTCAAAAAATACCTGACTGAGCGTAACTCCCAAAAGTCAATTACATAATTCCAAAGGAGACGAACTGGATCAATGTTCCATTAACCCGCATTGGGACCAAGAGCATCACACCAGGTTCCAAAACTCGTCCGTAGATTTTCATTCACTTCCACCAGTACGCTTCTGCGCCGTCGTCTAGTTCGAATTAGCCGTCTCACTCGTCCTGTATATTTTCCGTGTTACTGTGATACTGTTCATACCGGAAATTCTCTGCGACCCATTTGATTAACAGAAATGGTTATACGAGGAAGGGTAAATGCAACTAGACTCTGTATACTACTACACGGAGCCGGAGAGAACGTCTTGGCTTAGTTTCTGAATGCAGACCCAAAGTACAGCCAGGACATTTAAGGCGTCAACATTCAGTACACTATTCCCTTCTTTCCCATGTGATTAGCCAGCTGGAATCTGAAGGTCCATGGAATTGTCCACTTGATCTCTTGCCCCCCAAACCCCAACACCACCGGGGCCGAAGTGATTTTCAACACTCCTGACTTATGCATTATTTCAATTTAGATGCACGACCACAAAGCCCGTACCTCATTCCACCCACCGGCCTTCTACGGATCTAGCGGCATGCACAATGTACAGCGTGATGCATTGCCCTCGCAATACATCAGACATCGTAATACAATGGCGCCGTATTGAATGCAGGGCCTGGACTATGCTGCGGGAGTCAAGGAACGAACTTAATTTCTGTACAAGGGGTTCGAAAACTGTACCAGATCCATTGTACTTGTGTAATACTATCATTCAAACGGGGAACCGTGAGTAATGGTGTGATTGACCGCAGAATTGGAGTTTAGGGCAAACAATGTAAACCAAAGGTTTCCTCAATGAGTTAATAATCTTTGTCTGATCCACGATTTTATTCCTCCGAGGGACACATGGCATCGATGGGATACTTCGCCTGCAGAGGGGTTCGATCGTACCGTGCGGGCCTTTCTCGGGCGTCGATATTCATAGAATTGACGACGGCACAGAGGGCAGCTCGCATCTGCTGTATAAAGCCAACAATCGATACAAGGTAGATGAAAAATATGTTGGCACGGTAGAGTACGGTATGCGGATTCGGGGCCCAGCTGCTCCCAGCAGAGCTCACATTCTTTGGGCAGTGCGCCTATAACTTCCATCAGTCTTCTGTCCGCGCAGGTGGTTGTGGCAGGTTGTCTTGACCCACATGGCTGGCTGACCGTCCAGTCTTTCGATCCAAAATAGCACGGCATGGGCGCCAATGCGAGCTCTTGTCTTGTGAACCCACCTCTTTCTGTCGGCAACGGTCTATTATGGAGATAGTCTTGGGCAATGACGCTCTGGCTCAGGAATACTTGGCATCCAGCATCGGCTATGTAGCGAGAACACCATTGCTTTATTTCAAATCTCTGGACACTCTTAACTGTCGCGGCAGATCCGATAGATCATACGGCAGCTGATCCAACAAATCCCTTCCTACCATCATAAACGTGATTTCCATATTTGATTCGTCCGGAACAGACGGGCCGGACGGTGAGGCGGAACTTGGAACCGACCACGATTTGCAGCGCTCCGGTTCCAATGGTGCGTTGTCTCGGTCCTGAGCATTAGTGGCTCTGATGATGATGCGTCCGTAGTGCAGAGAGATGGTCTTCCAGGCTTGCTCGGCGGTGGAGGGGACTGTCTTCTCGAGGTACTGGTGATGGGGCACACACTTCACTCAAATGGCTCAAAATATCGGAGCCGCTACGTGCAAGTGCCTGTTCGAGATGGAGCTCTGAGTCGTCGTGCGGGAGCTGTCCTCTGTCGACTGGTTCAGGAGCGCCAACCTCGCTCAACGCCGCATATTCATCGTCTGAATCTGTCTCAGAATCTGTCGCTTCTCTGCCGCTTCTATTGGGATTGCTGGAAGGCAGATAAGACGCTAGTAAGTGTAAGGTAGCGATGAGACCCACGCACATCATTGCAGTCTGGTTCCTGCCGAAAAGGTTGTGACTGGCAAATGGAGACGGCGTCCCACAGCTATGTGTTATACGAGACGTCGGGTAAAACGGGGATTGTGTGGATCTAACATGTAGCAACTACCGTTGGCTTTTTCTGATATTGCATCCGACCCACGGTCGACCTCGGGCGGATACGGCGGATACGGCGGACTAAATCGACGTTCTGGACAATGTGAAATATGAGCCGAAGCCTTGGCGTTTTACACCAAGCCACGACTCTCACGTACTTCGAAAATATATTTATCACCAGTTTCTAAAAACCAGCATCATACTAGAGTCCCAGGGGATCGAAAGATCTAGTAGCTTCTAAAGACAGAATACCGGTAGTCTCTAAAGATATAGAACTGGCAGTTATTTAAAGCGGTAGAAAAAGCGGTTTAATATCTCAGACTCGGACGAGTCAATAATCTAGAGCTTTATCTTATATAGAAAGAATATACTCGATTGAGCAGAATCGCGGATCTTTATAAATAGAATCAAATTAGGTAAGAAAATTGGGTGTTGATATTGGTAAAGTTGGTAATTATTTTATATTGTCCGGAACCTCGATTTAGTCCTGATCTGTATCTGGATCCGCCCCCATCCACCGAATCAACACATCAGACAAACATAGGAAATCCCGTGATATGCATGTTTTTATGGGGGTTTGGGACTGTATCTTTATGGACTTGGTTTACCGACTAGGCAAAGAGTATTTAGAGTGAAAAAGCATGCGAATGAAAGCGAAATTATGAATAATCAACGGTGCCTACTGCCTGACCATAGGACGGGGAATATATATCTCTCTTGCCAATGTTCAGTCTACTTCACATTGCTGAATCGAAGTATTCAATTGACAACATCCGGATCCCACCAGGAAATATGCAAGAATGACAATGAGATTCATGAGCGATGCATAGAATTCCCTCTGGGTCCGGACGACCCTCCCGCCTGACCAAAATTCGGATGATCCAGAAACTGCACGGACCATTCCATCGCTCTGGAGATCTCGCTCGGCCAGTCGCACGAGAAGGGGATATCGCCGACGAGGAGCGATGAGGGGAGTAAGGTGTTGGGCGCCGGGTGGCTCGGCGGACTGGCACTAGCTGTAGACGTCCCGAGGTGCGCGGGAGGAGGGTATGTAGACGTACTCGCACGGCCAACCAGCGGGTGTAGCGGGGTGATGGCGCGGGGAGAGAGGCTTTCCTGCAAGCACAGTTCTAGTCTTGTTTAGCGCCGGGGTGAACAGCATTCCATTCAAGAATCGGCTACGGGGTGCGTGCGACTTACGCTCCTCCCCCAGGCGTCGTGCGCGGGACAACGCACTTAACATATCCACCGCCTTCTGCGCCGCAACCGAATTCACGCTCAGCGCCTCAAACACCTTCAGGCAGCTCTCTGCATCCTCGCGCAGCGACTGCGGCGACGTTCGCCCATGAAGGAAAGCACTATCGCTGTAAAAGGTCTCCGCCACGAAGAGGATCGAGCTCGCGCAGATCAGACAGGAGATCATTTGCCACCAGGGGAAATCATGCACGAGGCTGCGCTCGTCGGTAACGTTGTGCAAGAGGTGGGCTGTTTGCTGGGCCTCATGGATGCAAATGGATTCTGCTTCGGAGATGCGTTCCTTGTGCTGGAGAAGGAGGTCTAGGAAAGGCATGTTGTTCATCTGGAGGAAGGGGAGGCAGAGGAAGGGGCGGTGGATGAGGGCGCGAAGGTGGTGGAATTTGACGGCGAGCATGTTTCGCTAATTGTCGGGTTAGTATACGACTCGTATCTGTTTCCCTGTGTAGGTAGAGCGAGGGCGAACCTGGCGTTTGAACGAGACAGATTTCTCGAAGGTGTGCCCAAGGTCGAAGCGGAGATGCCGCGGGAGTTGCAGCTTCCATTCTGTAAGGCGATGGTCTAGGCTCGCGGTACTCTGGAGCATTTGCTCCGGTGAAATGTCGATCTGGGATGGTCGATATAGCTCCCGGATGACCAATCCTAATATACAAGAAAACTCGATGACTGAGAGGAAATAGTCCATCATATGTCCACGGACTCGATTGCGCTCCTGGCTTGTGATGTCGTCGCCACCGCCAGGGCTAAATGGTGCGTCGTCTGTTGCAGAAGGGAGCTCGACATGAAAGTCGGCTTCATGGATGGCCATCGGCCGTCCGAGCTGAAGAGCTAAGAGCCGGTCCAGTACATACATGGCGTACCACGTACGCCGCCAGTGGGAGCGGTCCTTGATCCACGGCTCCTTGGACAAGGGGCAGTTGGGCGAGTTCTCTACATGCAGACCGATGCTATGGCCCATGCGGATTGCGAATCCCAGGGTATTCCAGCATCTGGCCTAGTTAGCCACCGGCAACGCCAGTAAGGACGGATCAATACCTATCCGTATGGCACACGGCTAGTAAGAAGAAGCACTGGACGAGCAAATTCCAAATATTGACAAGCGAGCAATCCGCGCCTAGTTCCCGTGAGAAGTAGAGTCCTTGTTCGAAATACCGGAAATAAGGATAAGGGCCGCCGTGTCTCCCGTGCGGAAACGAGGTATAGTAGGATCCGATGGCGAAAATAAAGTCTGCATCAACGATTAATCGGCAAACTCCTGATCTGTGGGACATTTCCACGGGGCACCATACTGAAGAGGGCAAGCCACGGCCGAAACGCCGGCCGGTTGTGGTCGCCCGCTTGAAATCGGCCAAATTCTCGGAGGAGCACCGATTTACAGATGAATGGATACGCAACATGGATGGTCGACAGGTAGACGTCCAAAAACTGTTCTGCTTCAGCCTCTGAGGGTACCAACGGCGGTTGGGTCAACGCCACGAATGTCCCTAGATTGGGATGATGAGCATAGCTCTGCGTGGGGAGATCATCTTCATCGAGAGAGCCATTTCCGGTCACATATTTCCGGATGTAATGGACGAAATGGATATCGCTTGCCTTGCCAACATAAGTAGGCGAAGACTCCGTGGTATCGTCTCCCTGTGGGGCGGCTATTGCGCTCGGACCGGGCTGCTCGGTTTTGGCAACGTCTGGTAATTGATTCTGAATATTCTGCAGGCCAGCATCAAGCTTAGCCTGTTGAGTAGGATCCAAGTTCAGCCTGAGCTCGCGAATCAATGCTTCATAAGATTGAGTGGCGTTTGCGTAGGCCGTGAGGAAGTCCCCCGTAGTGCCGCTAGGCAGCGGACCATGAGAATCACGCCCAGATTCGTCGATTCCTTGACGGCCCAGGTCAGGTTGACTTCCTGGAGACCCTCTCGGTTTGCGCGCTGACCATGAACAGGTGAATCCATATCCGTCACATCTGGAGCACACCGGTTGGCGGCCGTCACACTGCCAAGTTAGAGCTGGCTGTTAGCGAGGTGAACGAAGCAAACCTTTGCTTTAAGCAGGCGGCACTTGTCACACGCAACCCCGACACGCTGACGCTTCATCCTAGATGATCTTACTCCGATCCGGTAGAACCGTGCGACTGGAGGCTCGAGGGTTCAAGCGTACAAGAAGGCCAGGATGGATTTGTTGAGGTGGTAATAGGATCATGACATGACATCAATTGTGGTGATTTTCCACCACCGCCCGGACCGCCCGATCCGGTGCTGCCGACTACGAGTTTCCTTTTGCTGTGGCCAGAATGTCCCCCTGTGCCAACTTAATCTTGCCCCCCCCTGTATTTTTACCAAAGAAAACAAAAAAAAGAAAAAAGGGGGGGGAAGAAAAATTATTAATAATTAATTAACGCGTCGCTGACCTCATGACTTAGCTGTCGAGTCTCTTCGACCTCGCAGAACGGACAATGGACGCGGACGGTTCGCAGCAGAATGGTCGCCCGGGACCTCACGATGCAGGCAATCTGAACGAGGTTGCTGCCCCGCCTCCTGTGTACGATGTGTCTGAGAGGCCGGTGCGGCTGAATGATTCCCTGGAACACCAGCCAGCACGCAGAGCTCAGATAAACCCTCGAGACGAGAGATATGAACCGGTTGGACCCGATGATGTGCAGAGCCCGGACGAATACCCGCAAGAGAAACACCCTAAACCAGGACGCATGTTGAAATTCCTGCAGACGACCTATATTGTGTCCTATCTTGTGTTATTCTCGATGTTGGGGACTTTACTCCGGGTGGTCATCGAATGCCTGACCTTCTACCCGGGGACACCAGTCAATACCAGTGTTCTGTGGGCGAACGTTGGGGGTAGTATGCTCATGGGCTTCCTGAGCGAGGACCAAGAGTTGTTTCACTTTGAAAGTGTCAGCTCAAGTCTCCCTCACCATGTGCAAAACGCCCCGTCACAGCGTGCCGCGCATATCAAAGCTCACAAGAAAACCGTGCCCTTGTATATCGGGCTGACCACGGGCTTCTGTGGAAGCCTTACGTCTTTCTCCACCTTCATGCGCGATGTCTATCTGGCACTCTCCAATAACCCCGTGGTGCCAGCCGGATCGTATGACGAGGTCTCCCTGTTTGCGTCTGGCCCTGCCAGTTTGAAATCTCCTAATGGCGGGTTTAGCTTCATGTCCATTCTCGCCGTCCTCTTCACGGAGATCGGCCTCTCCTTGGCCGGTCTCTTTCTTGGAGCTCATCTTGCAGTGGGTCTCTCTCCATGGACGCCCAGTCTGGCCCAAGTGTGGTTGCGCAAATACGTCGACCCTTTTTCCGCTATCCTAGCTTGGCTATCATGGATCCTTGTCATCTGTCTCGTAGTCCTTCTGCCCCAAGATCACGGAGCAACCACGTTATGGAGTCCCAATATATGGCGCGGACCGTTTCTTTTCTCTCTTGTCTTTGCACCAATTGGTTGCGTATCCCGCTTCTATCTCTCCCTCAAGCTAAATAGCCGGATCCTCGGTTTCCCGCTGGGAACATTTACGGTGAACATAATAGGCACAATGGTATTTGGAATGGCATACTCGATACAACATGCCACCGTCAGCACTTCTCCGCTCACCATCGGCGGAATTACCGGCTGCGAGGTGCTGGAAGGGATCATGGACGGGTTTTGCGGGTGTCTGACCACAGTCAGTACCTGGGTTCTTGAACTGTCTGATTTGCGGCGTCGGCATGCTTATATTTATGGGAGTGTGAGTGTGGCCGTTGCTTTGGGTTTCCTCGTCGTCGAAATCGGGAGTCTGCAGTGGACTCGAGGTCTCGCCACGCCTGTGTGTTTCCGGTGACACGTAGGCGTGTTCACAACGCGGCTGTCCTGGGATGGAAAAGGCTTAATCTGGGGGTATTCCAATAGATCTTGTCAGTATACCTGCACATAGAGTCAGACATCATAGCGAATCAATGTGCCTGTTGCCACGTTAGATATCTGGGCACCGAAAAACATATTACAACTCCATTTCAGTCCTCGAATTGCCTTCATAACTCTTAGAGACCTATGGTACCTAGTACATAGAAGCTCATTTTCGTTCCGGTCTCAGCCGAATCTAGAGATTTACATAGTACCTGTTCACAGCCGAGCTTCCCAAAGTCCCTACTTCCGCAGCTCCAATACGAAGTCTCGAGCGGCTGCTCTTCCCACCTCAACGCACGCGCCGATAGGATATGTCCAGGCTCCACGCAGACTATAACTATATCCCTGGGCTCACCACCTTTTACGTCATACTATGGGGTCCCTTTAATTGCCTAATCTCCCTCCTCGCACGGAGAGCGAGGCCCCCATAGACTCCGTTGTCTCATTCTCGCAGTAGGTCGGTAATGATCACATCCGGATCAGCAGGCGCCGGTTCGTCTTCAGCACTGACGCCGAGATTTAGAAGCGCTAAGTGTCTGTCGGGCTCGAACGCCGGGCGGGACCATCACTAGAAACAGTCGTCAGTAACTGTCCCGGAAATTGGGTACAGAGGTAGGTACGCACGCCAGCCCGATCCTACCGCGCTGGATCACTATCTCGTCCTGATCCAATATACTACGGCATGAATACATAGGGGAACACAAGAAGTGGTGGGTAGATAAAATACGTAGCAGTCACTGGTCCTTTTGTGCTTTTCTTGGTGATGCGCAAAGTACTTTCGATAGCGAGCGATATCCTACACTAGTTATACCCTGCAATCCCAACCGCTTAAAGATTCACTTGCAGAAAAAAGAGGCTGCGATACAAGTATTATGCCAGTGTTCGCTAAACATCATCCTTGATCTCTTCAACAGTCCACTCAGCCCTCTCGGCCCTGCGAGCCTCCCACGCCTTATGGACTATGATTCCAAGAATGCCGAAACCAACGAGAAAAACAATAACAAATACAAGGATAACCCCAGGCTGGCTTTCTGCCCAATTACTTCGCTTCGCATGTTGATGGTCGTCAAAAAGCGAAGGTTGGAAAGCTTGCGCGGTGATGACAGGCATACTTGAGACGCGGACTCTTGAGGTTTCTCTCAATTAGTATCCGACAGGAGATGGTAGTATAAAACCATGAAACTATACTCACTACGTCAGGACTCATGCGGCCAGGGTTTGCAGACAAATCCTAGTAGACAGCGAGGCGCGTGGGATGAGGGTCCCGAGAAACCGACCCCAGCAGCAACATTGATATGATGAGCTAAATGCAGAATACAGCAGATCTACGACATCCTCGATGCTTCTGGATCCTTGGTCTATGTGATGTTCCAGCACATGAGGTCACTCTCTGACTCACCGGATCGTCCGGTCCGTCCGGCCGCGAACCTTCTATTGCTCGTTTTAACCCTATGTAGAATCACAGAACAACAGTACAGGGCAATTTCTCCTCGGAGATGACGTTCGATACTGTCAGTGCATCACTGCCAGGATCTACCCCTTGGCTGTCACCGGACTCAAATAAGAGACTTTCGCGGGATATACAGAGTTCGCCTAGAACCTAAACCTACTGGATATTAGCATCTCTTTCGCAACCACATTGCGCGTGGCCGTGTTGATTTCGTACGTGTGCCTCCAAGAGCTTGTTACCCACTGGGCCGTAGTATTTATTGCCCGATAGAATGGCCCAGACCATGCCCCAAGACAGCCCCGGCGACGCAGAGAATGCTGCTCAGCAACTGCAGTCCCCAACGAATGTCGAAGCCCCTGGTGACGGCGATGAATTCACTCGCCTCGTCAGGTTCATCTCTGCGTACCGGGAATCCGACTTCGTCAGCCCCGACGAAGGTGAGGTGCGCGTCCACCGAGTGTGGTATGCCCCGTGGCACAAGAGGAAATTCCGCTGGAAACACGTCGGCGGATCCTCGCGCAAGTTCCCTGACAGTTGGCTCCTTACTGATATCCGAGATGGTCTGACTGATACGGACGTTACTCATCGGCGTAATGTCGCCGGGTTCAATGAACTGGCTTCGGAGAAGGAGAACCCATTTGCGAAGGTTATCTCATATTTCCAGGGGCCGATTCTTTATGGTGAGCATTGCCTACTACCTCTATCCGCACTGACCGGCTGGCATCATCGTGCTAATACTGGGTTAACATAGTGATGGAGCTCGCCGTCCTGCTTGCCGCTGGGCTAGAGGATTGGATCGATTTCGGCGTCATAATTGGGATTCTTTGGCTGAATGCCGCCGTCGGCTGGTACCAGGAGAAACAGGCCGCAGATGTCGTGGCAAGTCTGAAGGCCGATATTGCCATGCGGGCTACAGTCGTGCGCAATGGGCAGGAAATGGAGTGCCTGGCTCGAGAATTGGTTCCTGGGGATGTGGTCAGTATACCTACTGTGAAACCACACTCTACAACGGATTCTGACGCAAGCCGTGTCCTAGATCGTGATCGATGAGGGACAAACCGTTCCTGCGGACGCTAGGGTCATTTGTGCGTACAACAATCGTGAACACGGATGGAAGGAGTATAAGGAACTTTTGCAGGACGGGATGCTAGACGGCTCAAGCCCTCAATCCGAGGACGATGACCTCGGTGAGGATGCAGGGACCAGACGCGGGCATTCGATTGTAGCGTGCGATCATTCCGCGATTACAGGGGAATCGCTCGCCGTTGACCGATACATGGGGGACACCGTCTTCTACACGACCGGGTGTAAGAGGGGAAAGGCTTATGCGGTGGTCCAAACAACCGGCCAGAGAACGTTCGTTGGGCGGACCGCAGCCATGGTGCAGGATTCCAAGGACACTGGCCATTTTAAGATGGTGATGGACAGTATCGGAACATCGCTTCTGGTCTTGGTAATGGCCTGGATTCTAGCAGTGTGGATTGGTGGGTTCTATCGAAATATCCCCATTGCATCCCCCGGAGAACAGACGTTGCTGTTCTATACCCTGGCGCTGATGATTATTGGGGTCCCCGTTGGTCTTCCTGTTGTCACCACAACGACCTTAGCTGTTGGGGCTGCGTATCTGGCGAAGAAAAAAGCCATTGTGCAGAAGTTGACCGCAATCGAGTCTCTTTCTGTAGGCCCATTCTAATCCCACTCCAGACCTCGTTTCAAGTTTGAGGCTGATATTAGAAGGGAGTCGATATCTTATGCTCGGATAAAACCGGGACTTTAACCGCCAATCGCCTCAGCATCAGAGAGCCGTTCGTGGCTGAAGGTGTGGATGTGAACTGGATGTTCGCCGTGGCGGCGCTGGCCTCCTCTCATAACGTGAACGCGCTGGACCCGATAGACAAGGTGACTGTGCTCTCACTGAAGCAGTATCCCAAAGCGAAGGAAATCCTGCAGCAAGGATGGAAGGTAGAGAAATTTCACCCCTTCGACCCCGTGTCCAAGCGAATTGTCGCGGTTGCAACGTGTAACGGTGTCCAGTATACATGCACGAAGGGGGCCCCTAAGGCCGTTTTACGGCTGACCAATTCTTCCGAGGCAAAGATGTATAAGGAGAAGGCGACGGAGTTTGCCAGTCGTGGATTCCGTTCCCTGGGTATTGCCGTGCGTAAAGAAGACGAGGACTGGAGGCTGCTTGGGATGATGCCCATGTTTGATCTCCCAAGGGAAGACACCGCACAGACAATGGCCGAGGCCCAGAAACTGGGTATAGAGGTCAAGATGTTAACTGGGGATGCAATAGCCATTGCAAAGGAGACTTGTAAACAATTGTCGCTTGGCACGAAAGTCTACAATTCCGAACGGCTCATCGGCGGAGGCCTGGGTGCCATGGCTGGGGACCTTGTCGAACGAGCAGATGGGTTTGCAGAGGTCTTTCCAGAACATAAATATCAGGTGGTGCAGATGTTACAGGAACGTGGACATCTCACAGCAATGACGGGAGACGGAGTAAACGACGCGCCCTCGTTGAAGAAAGCGGACTGTGGGATCGCAGTCGAAGGCGCGTCCGAGGCAGCCCAGTCCGCTGCTGATATCGTCTTTTTGAAACCGGGACTCTCCACCATTATCGATTCTATCAAAGTCGCGCGGCAGATCTTCCACCGCATGAAGGCCTATATTCAATACCGAATAGCACTCTGTCTGCACCTTGAGATCTACCTAGTGACCGCTATGATAATCCTCAATGAGAGTATCCGTAGCGATCTAGTCGTGTTTCTAGCACTGTTTGCCGACCTCGCAACGGTCGCTGTGGCATACGATAACGCATCCTACGAGCTCCGTCCTGTCGAGTGGCAGCTGCCAAAGATCTGGATCATCTCTGTTATTCTCGGCATCTTGCTCGCCGCAGCAACATGGGTGATCCGGGGTACCCTATTCCTTCCTGACGGTGGCATCATCCAGAATTGGGGCTCAATCCAAGAGATTATATTTCTCGAAGTGGCACTGACCGAGAATTGGCTGATCTTCGTGACTAGAGGCGGCGACACATGGCCATCTGTTCAGCTAGTGGGTGCAATCTTCGGCGTTGATGCCCTGGCTACAATCTTCTGCTTGTTTGGCTGGTTCTCAAATAGGGATATGGCTACTGACCCGTTCGACCAGCTGCTGGACTCCCCAAAAGAAACTCATAACGGATCGACCGATATTGTGACTGTTGTGCGGGTCTGGGGGTATTCATTGGGCGTGACTATTGTGATTGCGTTGTTGTATTATGCCCTCAATAAGATTCGATGGTTGGATGACCTGGGCCGGAAAAAGCGCAGCAGAGGCGAGATCCAGGTCGAAAATATCCTGAGTCATCTAGCCCAGGTCACTGTTCAGTATGTACAGGAGGCTGGGACGGGCAGCGGACGATTCTTCCTGGCGTCCAGTAAAGAGGAGGAAGAGGCCGAGTAGGAGCAACCGAAAGGAGCGATATTCTCTATTTTTGGACCCTCGCCTCTCTGACTTCCTACTGTGTTGGAACTTTCAACTGCTGCCTAGGTGTTATGATGCACGAGAAAGATAGTTCATATACAATTGTTTCCCGACAGTGGGAATTTTTGATCAAGTTGTATTAGACATTAATTTCGCGTGATCAGAAAAACCAAACGGAATCAAAGCGCTGACAATCCATAATCAGCGTCAATAACCTAAATATGAAACGAGCAAATCCAGTGAAATGTCAGACACCAAACGATCTCACACCCACAGGCTCTCCCTGGCACCCGTCATGTACGAAGACACTCTACCTAGACCGTCTCCTGTCCTTCCGCAGACGGGACTCCTTCGACGAGCTGACCAGGCTCAGAAGCAGTCGGCTGACCGCTACCCCCATTTACTGGGCCCGGAGCCCTAATTTCCTGGGGCTTTTCGACCCCTCCACTAACAAGTGCCGGTTCCCTCCGTCCACCAATAGGATCTTTATATGTACGAATATACAGTCCCAAATCGCTTGGGTCGATTCCGGCATGCAACCAGAGAAACACCCCACAGGTGATGGGAATAAGGCAACAGTCAAGGATGCCGTAGAAGATGAACTCCGAGTCAGGCGGGATGACATTCCCTCCCTCGCTAACCCCCCAGCATACAGGTAGAGCATCCAGAGCAGACAAATCCAACTGGCTGGGATGATGTGGGCGAGCTCGACGTCTCGGCCTAAGGCTTTAGCATATCCTCGAGGTGCTATGAGTAGAGAATAGACAAGCAATAGCCAGGACCAGATCCAGAACGCGTAATATCCTAAACTCGTATGTCAGTGACGTCTTCTGGGAAAGCAATGTGTTTATGCTGACCCCATTTGTAGTCGCTGCGGACCACAGCACCGACTACTGCCATGATCGCCATCACCGCGCTCAGAAAGCACGCCCAGAGTATATGAACAGTAGGGGCGGCGCAGGTGAAAAGCACAGACAGAGACAGAAGCGGCCAGATCAGGAACCTGCAATGTGGAAAGATGTTGTCAACATGCGATGCATAACACAGGGTTGATGGGGTGGAGATCAATCATACCAGCCACAGTACCGAACCCACCAGATCTGGCGATTCATTCCAGAATCCAAGTGGCCGCTGCGATGCCATTCTACGTCAATTGGGACCCATCCGAGATTAGACGCCATGCTATAGTGTTCTACCATTGCTACGAAAGCAACGGCTGCGAGAAGGTAATGGAATATTCGCCGCGTTGGAGGGCGGCGAAAAGATAGCCCCATTATTGCGAGCATGGTGAAGCCCATGATCGACATCACAGCCCAATACCAATCTGAGCCGCGGACAGTGATATGGATATCAACAGTCCTATCGTTCACTATGAAAGGATTAACGTGGGTTGCCCTGTTGCCACCCATTCTGTCTTCAGATGTAGGGATATTGAAGGCCCAGAGACGAAAAACAAATCAGATAGATTCTTAATGACCTAGTCCACAGGCGGACTTTATGTGCCGTGATTGAAAACTATCAGAAGCAAACCTGTGTGCATCACCAGAGCCACGTGGGTATATATCCCGCACTCATAAATCGAGTCATTGATGTAATCGATTCCTTTCTCTCATGCTCGCCATGCGTGCATGTATCTTGGTTCCGATTTGTTTACACTGAAAGGCTGGAGTAACATGGTGCGGGACGACTGCATCTACTCCGGTCCGTGTGGACCGGCTGTCGCGGACTTGTGGGCTGGATTCAAAGCAAGCGGACGGGAACGAAGAACGAGAAATAGCTGGTCCTTGGGTGTGCTGCTGGATCGAACCAAGAATTTGCAGGCCACGTTCGGCATCCTGTTTCCAACCGCTGACCCTCATACAATTGACACCAGTGTTGAACGTCATAGCTATTGAATTCGGAAAAAGTAGCAAGTCTAAGCTCTTTTTTAGGCAAACCGGTCCGCGCGGCCCTGCAGGGATTTCAGCCTGTGTTGATCATTCCGTGTGGATTGTAGATCTGATATATGTACCAACTTGACTAAGCTAACCATAGTAGTCGATGAAATGCAAGATCATGTCACCAGGGTAAGGATCCACTTATCCTTCTATTACTGGTTTAGATATACAGTACTCTACCTGGTGATTCTTCATTTGTCCCAAGATTGATATCGAGGTTTAGTTGAAAGGACCTATCTTGGTTGAGATGTATGGAATTTTCACCCAGAGAATTCTACTGAATAGGCGACGGTACGTCACGAGGCAATATAGGATATCCAGGCCAGCCGTACTTGCTTCTAGCCATAGCTGTGGACTCATGACCCATTCAATTGATATGTACTATATACAAAGCAAAGGGCCAAAACAAACGAAAGGGCTAGATACATACAAGCCTGAGTGCACGAAATACCACAAAGCCTCAAACAAAGACACAACACCATGACTACTACTCCCCCACCGCTTACTGATCAGAAGAAGCAGGGTTGCTATCCATCGTCATTGCCGCCCCTGCGTGGCAACGCCCACTGCCATTGGTCCTAGTACTCAACCTAGTCTTACACCAATGCTTAAGCGAATGAAACGCCCCATGAGTATGGACATTCTCAGAACCCCGCCGTGAGCTTCGCCCACTCTCCTGGATGCCAGCTGGGGGCGGAGGCTTGGTCATTCGTGGATATCGCAAGTAGTAAAACGCCTGGCGACATATAGGACACCTGGAATCAAAATTGCAGACCCAGTCATCGGCACAGACTTGGTGGAAGAGATGCCCACATGGAAACTCCCGTAGGATGGACGTTGAGGCTATCAGCTCAAGACAGATAATGCAGCATTCTAGATCTTGGTCTGTATTTCGGTTTTCATTCGCTTAGAGCACTATTCGATGCAAGGTATGCTGGGGTTGAGAGGATGAGGGGATGAACTCACGAGGTGGAATATCCGGAAGGCCTTGGAATGTTCGTAGTTTCGATAAGTCGAATTCGTATTTGGAGGCACGTCGTGGATGCATGGTTATTACAAGGAAAATGAAAAGGAGGTATTTGGGGGCAGACTGGGCAAGTAGCCTACGGCCGGCGGCGGTAATCCCATTTTATTATCACCACGACATTAGGGTCAGAAAAAAGCATCAAAGGTCAGATTAAATGATCGCCGTGAGGATCTGCGTGGTCAGAACAGGGTTCTGCACAGAGTAGACAGGGCTGCTCCGGATCACGCGCTGCCACGCAGAAAGACACACTCGGGTGTACCGGCTAGAGTGGAAGACACGGAAATCACGACAGCATTTGTTGACTGGAAAGGTTTAAACCCAGCTGGTATGGGGTTGACCCAAGAAAATAACGATACTATGTCATCACAGGCTATCATATACACGTTCCAAGGCACGAAGAATGGGGCGGCCTGATGCTCAACGAGCCCTGTTGTCTTGGCTCGCGAGATCGTATAGCCAGTAAGTTAGACGTTGGAGGTAGCGTCATACGAAAACCGTGTTAAATGCTTTTCAGACGCAGGAGATCTGTCTGACAGGTGCATATTTCCTTGTTAGAAGCTGGGCCGCGGCCATATCTTTTACCCCTCTCTTATCGACTTCCGGCGTTGTGAGGACGATTCGAGCTGTCCACGCTATCACAAAACAATTTGCTACTCGAGACCGTGGCTAATAATTACTAACAGCCAGCACAGTACTGTCCCGCATCTAGCCTTCCATTTACGGATGATTTAAGGGTCGCAAGGGCCTGGTTGGTTGTTCATTGTCTGAATAATGTCCGATACTGGCCAGAGTCATAATATAAAAGCTTTCATGAGGGTAACAGGCATGGTGCTGAGTGACAAAGGTCCATGGATTTGGATATCCTTCGCATTTCCGTTGCATGGGAATACATTGAGTGCATTCCGGACGCTTTCCATCACACTGTCCAAGGTCAGCAGTTCAGCGACATGGAGGAAGGTATGCCTGCCGAGTCTTACACCTAGTTTTCGTCTGCTGCAATTGTTGCAAGCGGAGCGCCGCTATGGCTTCACGGGCATGAAACCGAGATCGATGCATACAAATACGTAAGGGCGTGAGTGTCTATCGTTGATGGCGGCGAGGAGAGATGTTCATGACAGAGCAAGGGTGGCGATGTGCAGGCATGTGATGCCTCAGGAACTCAAGATACATCATCTGCATGACTCCTCCAATGCAAATTGTCAAATAATGAACCGATCGAAGGGTACCAGTAGTATGAGGGGTGCCCCTTGGGTCCACCTCCCCAAGAGAAGATTTGTAGTGGGCCCCGTCTTGGCGGTTTATATGCCCGAATCGAGAAATGGCTTCATGTCTCCCACTGCCAAAAGTCCGGCACCGAACGTTCGAGCCACATTTTGTGGACAATATTTGGAATCTGTTTGTCTTTGGCTTGGATATGATATGCTCAGGAATTCATCTGTGGGTAAGCCCTACTGCGACGGCCACCGCATTTAGAATCAAACTCCGCCAATATTTCAACTAAGCAGGTTTGATCAGAAAGATGGCTGGATATGCGTACACATGCAGCCAATTGTTAGAAATGGGTTATCTCCTGAACGCCTATATATATTCCCCATCCCCCCAAGAAGAATACTTAATAAATATTAAATAATATAAATATACTAAGACTTGTAATCTTAAAAAGTATATATTATTCTTATGTGTTTTTTAATATTTGTTATATAATAGTATTATTATAA